GCCGAGAACTAAAAAATAAATATTAAAAATTCATTCTCTCTCTCTCTCTCTCTCTCTCTCTCTTAAAAAAAAACAGTCCTTACTTCTTTTTAAATTTTTATTTATTTATTTAGTTTTAACTTTTAGTTTTTTTTTTAAATTAGTGGCTAGTGGATATATATAGTGATGGATTCAGTATGGGTTTTTCTATATGTATATAGGAAAGTTAGATTAGATTCATTCCACTGTTTCCCCTTATTCTGTTCTTCCTCCTTACCCCTCAATCCTTTTCCTCTATTCCATTGATCTATTTTGATGGAATTTCTGCCCCTCTTTTTCCTTTCCATCCCTTTCTTTCTCCCCCCCCTCTCTTTTCCCCCCCTCTCTTCCCCCCTCTCCCCTCCTTTATTTTGTACTAGCTTCTGAATATCAGAGAAAACATTTGACCTTTAACTTTTTTGGGTCTGGCTTATTTCACTTAGCCTTATAGTCTCCATTTCCATCCATTTATCAGAAAATGCCATAATTTCATTCTTCTTTATGACTTGAGTAATACTCCATTTTGTATATATACCACATTTTCTTTACTTATCCATGTGCCTAGTTGAAGGGCATCTAGGTTGATTATTGTGAATTGTGCTGCTATAAATATTGATGTGGCTTTTTGCCTGTAGTATGCTGATTTTAGATGTTTGGGATCAACATACCCAGAAGTGGGAAAAACAGGGTCATATAGTGGTTCCATTCCTAGTTTTTTTGAGAAATCTCCATACTGCTTTCCAGAGTGATTGCACTAACTTGCAATTCCACCAACAATGTATGAATATACTTTTTCTCCCACATCCTCACCAACACGTATTATTATTTGTATTCTTAATAAATGCCACGCTGACTGAAATGAGATGAAATCTCAGTGTAGTTTTTAGTTTTAAATATTTTTAGTTGTAGATGGACACAATACGTTTCTTTATTTATTTTTATGTGGTGCTGGGGATGAAGCCCAGTGCCTTCCATGTGCTAGGCAAGTGTTCTACCACTCCTGAGCTACAATCCTAGCCCCTCAATGTAGTTTTTTTTAATTTATATATGACAGTGGAATGTATTACAATTCTTATTATACATATAGAGCACAATTTTTCATATCTCTGGTTGTTTATAAAGTATATTCATACCAATTTGTGTCTTCATACATCATCACATTCTACCATCATTAATAACCCCATGCCCCCTCCCTTCCCCTCCAACCCCTCTGCCCTATCTAGAGTTCTTCTATTCCTCCCATGCTCCCTCTCCTTACTAGGGATTGAAGCTGGGGTTCTTAACTACTGAGCCACATCCCCAGCCTTTTTTTGTGTGTTTTGTTTAGAGACAGGTTCTCGCTAAGTTGCTAAGGCAGGCTTTGATCTTCCTGCCTCAGCCTTCCGAGCTGCTGAGATTACAGGTGTGCACCACCATGCCCGGCCCTCAATGTAGTTTTGATTTGCATTTCCCTAACATTTTTTCATGTATTTGTTGACCATTTGTGTTTCCTCTTTTGAGAAGAAGTATCTGTTTAGCTCTTTTGCCCAATTAATAATTGGGTTGTTTGTTTGTTGTTTTTTTTTAATTTGGTGGTGTTTTGAGTTCTTTTTATATTCCAGATATTAATACCCTATCTGAGGAGCATGTGGCAAAGATCTTCTCCCATTCTCTAGGCTCTCTCTTCATGTCTTAATTGTTTCCTTTGCTGTGTAGACACTTATTAATTTGATGGCATCCCACTTAATGATTCTTGGTTTTATTTCTTACACTTTAGGAGGTCTTATTAAGGAAGTCAGTTCCTGTGCCGACATGTTGGGCCTACATTTTTTTCTAGCAGTTGCATAGTTTCTGGTTTTATTCTTAGGCCTTTGATTCTCTTTGAGTTGACTTGTGTGTGAGATAGGGATCTAGTTTCATATATATATATATATATATATATATATATATATATATATATACACACACACACACACACGTATATTTTAGTTGTTGATGAACCTTTATTTATATGCAATACTGAGAATCGAACCTAGTGTCTCACACCTGCTAGGCAAGCACTCTGCCACTGAGCCACAATCCCAGCCCATAGTTTCATTCTTCTGCATATGGATTTCCAGTTTCCCAGCACCATTTGTTAATTAGGCCATCTTTTCTCCAACATGTTTTTGGATCCTTTTGTCTAGATAAGTGTATTTATGTGGGTTTATATCTTTGTATTCTATTCAATTTTATTGCTTTTCATGTCTGTTCGGTGTCAGTACCATGCTGTTTTTGTTACTGTAGCTCTGAGTATAATTTGAGGTCCAGTATTAGGATGCCTCCAGAATCACTCTTTTTGTTCAGGATTACCTTGGCTCTTCTGGGTCTCTTGTTTTTCCAAATGAATTTTAGAACTCCTTTTCCTAGTTCTGTGAAGAATACCATTGGCATTTTGATGGGCAGTGCATTGAATCTGTATAACATTTTTGGTAGTATGTCCATCTTAACGATATTAATCTGCCCATCCAAGAACATGGAAGAGCTTTCCATCTTCTGAGGTTTTCTTCAGATTCTTTCTTCAGTGTTCTATAGTTTTCATTGTAGAGGTCTTTCATTTCCTTCATTAGATTATTCCTAAATATTCTATATATTTTAAGGTTATTGTGAAGGGGATTGCTTTATTTCTTTTTCAGTAGATTCATTATTGTAGTATAGAAAAGCAATTGATTTATGTATGTTGATTTTGTGTTGAGAGCCAGAGCCAAAGAAGTCACCCAATGAGCAGCTCCGTGGAGGAGCCAATCAGCTAGATGTTGCTGGGGCCGCTGTGAGCCAATCATCAGCTGGCAGTCTGAAGGGCAGGGAAACAGCCCAATGAACATCATTTTGTATCTTGGTACTTCAGTAAATTTGTTAATCGGTTCTAGAAGTCTTCTGATGGAGTTTTTTTGGGACTTCTAAACACAAGATCATGTCAGCAAACAGAGATAATTTGAGCTGTTTTCCTATGTGTAGCCCTTTAATTTCCTTCTCTTGCCTGATTGTTCTGACTAGAATTCCAGGGCCTATGTTGAATAGGGGTGGTGCGAGTGGGCATTTGTTTTGTTCCTGGGTTTAGAGAAAATGCTTTCAGTTTTTCTCCATTTAGTGTGATGTTAGTTCTACCACTTCTTGTTAACATCATGGGCTGGCAACTAAGCCTTTAATACATGGGCTCTTGGGAGACCCTCAGAGCCAAACCATAGCACTAAATATTCAACAGTGTGTTTAAAGATGAAATTCTAATCCACATCTGCTTGCTCAACTTTTGTTCTTTTTTACTATACATAGTCTCTCTTGAGAAACTGGCAAAGCTATTGATGGATGATGGAGCTCATAGAGATGATGGTATAATTATGTAAATAAAGATTGCTTGACTTTTTTTTTTTTTTGGATGCTTTAGTTCGGCAAGCTGTTCTGGAGAGAAAGGATCATGAGTTAGTATTGCCAGGAAAAGGAACATTCAAGTTAACTGTCCGGTTACCCACAGCTTCAGAGGAAGCCCCAGTCTATGAGGGGAAAATTTCAACAAAGGTAAGTAAACCTGAGAAGTTGTTCAAAGGGATCTGGGGTGGGGGGTCCTCCCAAGTATGTGGGATGGGAATCTCAATGAAGAAAATACAGTGGAATGAGAAGTGTCAACCAAACTGGAGTGAGAACAGCTCATAAATGCAGAGAAGGTGAGGGTGGTGATAACATGGTATAAAACAATCAAGGATGAAGCACTTTGTTGATTTTAGACACTTTTGGAAAATTAAGATTCAGTGGTTATCCTAATATAAGTTTCAGATATAAAATTTTAGATTGTTTTGTCTTGGCTTCTTTTTGACTGGAAACTTGCTAATCTTTTTAAACAACATTTTGAGGGTTGAGATGAATTCTATAAAGAGGAGTTCTATGAGTATGTGTAGTAAAAAGAATAAAAGTTGAGCAAGCAGATGTGGATTAGAATTTCATCTTTAAACATACTGTTTAATATTTAGTGCTACAGTTGGATCTGAGTGTCTCCCAAACATCATACTACAGATGCTGTGTCCTCAGTTGTCAAATAGATTGTCAGATTACTGGGAGGCTTGAGATGAGTTCAGTGAAGCACACGGCACAGTGCTTGTTATATAGTAGACATTCAATAAATGCTAAATGGGGAAAAGCAATTATGAGCTAAGCTGTTTCCCTGATTTAGGTCTTACCTCATATCCCAACTCCATATCCCAAATACTGTGTGAATTGAGTATTCTGCTATTTTTACCTTTTTTTCCCCCCCAATAATTATTGTGTCTAGTACAGGGATCTGCTATGACATGTGGCACCAGATGCATTCAAGAGCTCCACTAACAGAGCTTTTTGTTATCATTTCTGTTTACCATTCATCTCCAAGATGCTTCCGTGGATATTTTTAAAAATTTTTAGTTGTAGATGGATACAATGCCTGTATTTTGTTTATTTAGTTTTCTGTGGTGCTAGAGATCTAACCCAGTGCCTCATGCGTACTAGGCATATGCTCTACCTTTAAGCCACAACCCCAGCCCAGACATTTATTTTTATTTATTTATTTGTTTTACAGTGCTGGGATCAAATAAAGGAGCCTCACACATGCTAGGCAAGCACCAAACTACATTGCTAGCCTTTTCATTTTGTTCCCTCAAACAGGGTCTTGCTAAGTGGCCTGGGCTGCTCTCCAACTTGTGATCCTCCTGCTTAGCCTTCTGAATGTCTGGGGTTACAGAAGGGCACCACTGCATGCAATGACATTTTCTTTCTTTCTTTTTTTTTTTTTTTTAAATTTATCTTTTTCTAATTGTTTAGTTGTAGACAGACACAATACCTTTGTTTTATTTACTTATTTTTATGTTCCTCACATGTGCCAGGCAAGCACTCTACCACTGAGCCACAACCCCCAGCCCCCTCTCCATGACATTTTCCTAATGTAAAGAAATTATTAGTGATATATTAATGCTACTTTATTGTTTGGGTTTCAGGAATCTAAGAGCAAAGAAGATGTCAAAGAACCAGGTAAAGTCTCAATTGATGTAATTCTGACATTCACCAAGAAGTTTTGCTTTTATTAAGTAAGGAAAGCATTTAGGGGATGTTCCTTCCTCCTCCTCCTCCCTCCTCCTCCTCCTTCCTTCTCCCTCCTCCTTTTCCTCCTCCTCTTCATTCTTTGCATTATAGTTACACATAGTTGTTGGGTTCATTTTGATAAAACCATACATGCATTGGATTTGATTTACTCCATTTCAGTCTCCAGTGCCCCTCCTTTCTCTCTCCTCCTGCCTCTCCATATTCTCTTTCCTCTGTTCTACTGAGCTTCCTTTCTCTGGTTTATTTATTTACTTTTGATTGACACTTTATACATATACATACTGATAGAATTCACTGTGGTATATTTATATAAGCACATTGTGTGGTTTTGTTCAATTCATTCTGTCCACATTTCCTCCGCATCCCTGTCCCCTCTCCCTTCCTTTCCAACTCCTTCTATTTACAGATCTTCCCTATATTTTTATGATATCTGACCCCACCCCCTTTTTCTCCCTATTTGTTCTAGCTTCCATATATGAGAGAAAACACTTGACCCTTTCTTTTCTGAGTCCGGTTTATTTCACTTAGCATGATAGTCTTCATTTCCATCAAATAATTCCATTCAAATGACATGATTTCATCCTTTTTTTTTAATCTCTTCTTTAAGGCTGAGTAAAACTCCATTGTGTGTGTGTGTGTGTGTGTGTGTGTATGTGTATATATATATATCACATTTTCTTAATCCATTCATCTATTATCACAGGGTTGCTTTCCCAGCCACAACCACAGCCATTTTTAAATTGTTTTAGTTTGAGGCTGGCCTCAAACTTGAGATTCTTCTGCCTCAGTCTCCTGAGTGGCTGGGATTACAGGCATGTACCACTGAGCCTGGCTCAAGTGTGCTTTTGATAAGAAGCTCAAGACTCTTATGAGATAGAAATCTTGTGTGTGTTCAGATTAATTCCTGCTTTCCATCCTTCTGATCTGGAGTCGACTTATCAGCTTCTGATGTTTATTATTCTGACCTCTTAAATCCTTATCATTTTATTGGAAAATGCCTTAAGTGCCTGATTCTCAAGCTCAACTTTAGATCAGGGAGTGGCTTTTTATTTATGTATTTATACTCATACTATAGTCCTGGATCTAAAATTTAATCAAGTTTTTGTTTCTTGTTGTTTCATATATCTTACCTTCCCTCTGTCTTAACTGATTGGTTAGTGCTGTTTCAAATTTGCCTAAAATCCTAAGTGTATCCTCAGGAAGAGCCATCCAGCCTCTCTCCACCAATGGACTTTTTATTGTCCTGGAAATGTTGCAACCATTTTCTAACCTGTTTTTACCTGACTCAGACTCTAAGGGGAGTTACCAGCTAGGGAGTCAGGCGGTCTTCATCAAATCTTTTAATGGCTCTTGTGAGACATGAAGAAGTCCTGAGATGAATGGTTGGTCCACACTGAATTCTGATGACGGCCAAAAGGCTAGGACTCTTGAAATGGATTGGAATGGGGTAGATGGTTTCAGAGCTGAGTGAAATGTGGATGGAGAGTGGTTATCTAACAGATCCAAAATCTCAGGGAGAGGTTATCTAACAGATCTAAAATCTCAGAGGACGCTGCCTCACGGATGCATTACACATGCCTGAAAGTCAATGCAGAAAGTTGAAAACCAACTTTGTGGTTTTTAACCCGCTGAGGAGCTGACAGCTCAGGGAAAATCAATAGCAGAACCATGGGATGTGAATATTGAGCCAGTGTTCAGATCCAGCTGGACTGGGCCTGAAAGAGAGAAATCAGCAACTGGAAGATCCTGGAGAAGAGACAAGAACAGAGAAATACTGGTCACCTGTGGTTGACAAATTCTGGGACTTCCAAGTCCGCATCTCAGTTATGGGTCCCTTCTAAGCTTCAGACCTTGTGTCCGACCTTCCTTCTGGGAAGTCAGACCCAGCGTGTCTGAAGCCACCTATGTCTGCTTCCTCCCAAACCAATATCCTTTCCGACTTCCTTATTTTTCTTAAAATATATAGTTTGCTCCTCAACAACTAGAAACTTCAGACATCTTCTCTTTGACCTTCCACATCTCTTGTTCAGAGAGACCTATTATTTTTTGAAGAGTCTTCCTCAGCCATCTTCTCACCACAGGCCCATCTTATTACCTCACAAATCCAACATGGCAGGAGCTGGCATCTGTGTCCCTCTGTTTCTGACACCCTGTTTCCTGATAGCTGAAACAGTCCCCTGTACTATTTCTAAATATCTTCTTGTCCTTTTCACAGAAACCTTCCATGATTCACTTTTATCATCCACTGCAAGGTCAAGTCCAGACCACATTCTGGATCTAGACCACCTCTCTGGTCTTGTTTCTCACATCTCTTGAAAATGCTCCTATTGGAGCCACACATGGTCCTTTGGCCATTCTGACCATTTTCTGAATGGCCTCAGGCAATCCCAGGACTCTGCTTGTGCTCCTGTTGCTCTCAGCACCCTCTGCCTGACTTTCTGTATCTGATTCTCTGGGCTCTTCAAGACCTGCTCAGCTTCCTCTTCTTTCCCTGCCAGTCCAGTCCCTTTATCTAATTCTTGGACTCTTTAAATGTTCTGGATGCTTTTTACTTGTCAGTTAACCAAGCTTCTTGGTGCTGAAGCTTCTAAGAATTGTGGGGCCATAAAGCTGTACTGCTAGGAAGACTCTTTCCTGTTCAGTTCCCTTGGTCCACTGTTCTCATTTTACAATTAAGAGACTTGCCCAGGGTTGCATGGCTGAAGAGTCATAGTCAGGGATGGAATGCATAGATCCTCACCCTAGCCCAGTACTCCTTCTGGTTGGTCATACTTATCTCATTTAATGCTAAGTTATGTTGTTACTGAATATTTTTTGTTTTTTATTTATTATTTTTGTTGTTGTTGTTACTGAATTTTAAGCTTTTTTATATATATATTTATTTTTCAGTTTTCGGTGGACACAACATCTTTATTTTATTTTTATGTGGTGCTGAGGATCGAACCCAGCGCCCCACGCATGCCAGGCGAGCACATTACCGCTTGAGCCACCTCCCCAGCCCCAATTTTAAGCTATTTTTGTAAATTTAGCATGAATTGATGTGCATCATCAGGTATTCTTATTTTCTTCTAGTGAGCCAAGTAGATCTCCAGTTCAGCAAGCATTTACTGGGCCTCAGTATACAGTGTGACAGCAATACTAGGGTGAATAAACATGTGTTTGCTTTGGGGAAGCTTAGTTCAATAACTGTAATGTAATGCTATGATAGAAATATATATCAGGTGCTATGACCTGAAGGATGAGGTAGGTTCGAGGCAGGAAAAGGTGAAATAAAATTGAACTTAAACTACTGAGCTATTATTGGATAGTAGTAATAGATGGTTAAATGCTACATTTTATTTATTTATTTTTTAATATATATTTTTTAACCTGTACTTGGACACAATACCTGTATTTTATTTATTTATTTTTATGTGGTGCTGAGGATCGAACCCAGCGCCTTGCTTGTGCTAGGAGAGCGCTCTACCGCTGAGCCACAACCCCAGCCCCTACATTTTATTTTTAATTAAATAAAGTAAAAAACTATCCAGGACCTGTTTTAAGTTGAGCTAGCTAAAGAGAAGGGGGCAGGGAGGATTTATCTTATGATAATTTACTTTGCTAAGACCATGGTAGGTAATATAATATGTTTTACTTCTTTTTGTCTCCCTAAAATCAGATGTGTCAGAAGAACTGGATACAAAGTTGTCTTTCAATAGTGCATTAGAAAAAATAAAAGTTATCCCCAAAGAATGTGAAAACATTTCCTCTTTGGTGGCATTTGAAAATCTCCCAGCAAATGTGACTGACATGATGTTAATCTTATTAGTGGAGAACATAAGTGACTTGACCAGTGATGATTTTCAGGTGGAAATAATACGCGATTTGGACATCGCTGTGGTTACCTTTAAAAGACACATAGGTGAGCTCAAGTGATATCAGCCTTTTTTGTACCACATTTGGGGATTTGGGACACCCAGTTAATGGAATCTCTGAAATTTTGACTCTTTCTAGTAGCTGGTAAAAGAAGACTCCAAATTAATACTGGTGCTTTTTTTTTTTTTTTTTTAAGACAAGCAAATTGGTTTTGAAACTAAATATTCTTGTATGTTTGTCTGGGTTCCTGAATGTATGTGTGTGTGGGGGGGGGCGGAGGAGGAAGGGAGGAAGGGGGGCCGTGTTCACGGCGAGAGGAACCTAAAGGAAAAAGGCTGGTTCACTCTGGTTGTAGAGAGAGAGAGAGAGAGAGAGAGAGAGAGAGAGAGAGAGAGAGAAGTCTAGAAGTCTAGTCTAAGGATACTAAGCATTTTTACGTGTGTTATCTCATTAAAAAAAGTTTGTTTTTATCTCTTACCAAACTGAATTTGCTAGAAGGAAATAAACACTCACATAGTGCTTACTGTAAGTTAGGTAATATGCTAAACACTTTACATGTATTAATTGATTTTTTTCCTTTCAACAACTTTGTGAGATTACTCTTATTATCCCCCAGTAGACAAAGGCACAAAGGTGCTATAAATGGAAGAACTGGATTTGAACCCAGGCAGCCTACCTCTTCAGTCTCTTCCATTATCAGTTTTACCATATGTGTTAGTCAAATTTTTGTTACAAGGACCAAAATACTCAACAAGAACAACTTAGAGGAGAAGAAGTTTATTTTGCATTATGGTTTCAGAGGTTTAGTCCATAATGGGCCTACTCCATTGCTCTGGGCCCAAGATGTGGTAGGACATCATGGTGGAAGGGTGTAGAGAACAACACTGCCCTGTTATGGTAGCCAGGAGGTAAAGAGAGAGAGGTTGGTGGGATGGAGAGAGAGGGGAGAAGGGCCACAGGGAAGACGAACCCTTCCAGGGCACACCCCCAGTGACCCACCTCTTCTAGCTACACCCCACCTGCCTACAGGTACCATCCAGTTAGTCTGTTCAAACTAGGATGTACTGATTAAGTTCTAGCTCTCACAATCCAATCATTTTCCTGCATTAACCCAGGAGCTTTTGAAGACGTTTCATATCCAAACCATGAGCCATATTTTTCCTTAGTCCTTTCATGGTCACATATGCAGGAATAAAAAAGTACATGTGATATGGAAAATGATAGCTCCTTAAAGTCGTGGTCGAGAGGAAGAAATATCTCTACCTAAAACAAGGAAATTTTCCTGTCCTAAGCCCTTATTAACCCATGAAAATAATGATGGAATGATTAATTAAGAGCACAGGTCATGGGCTGGGGTTATGGCTCAGTGGCAGAGTGCTTGTCTAGCATATATGAAGCACTGGGTTCAGTCCTTAGCACAGTGTAAAAATAAATAAAATATTTTCTTAAAAAAGAGCATAGGTCATGGAGTCAAAATTCTAGCTCTGCCATTTAACTAGTTATTCAAGGCTAACCAAATCCTATCTTTCTTGTGCTTCAATTTACTTGTTTATAAAGTGGGATAATAACACCTATCTAAATTTTCTTTAAAGACTAAATGAGAAAATGTTTGAAAGGCATTTAACGTAGTACCTGAGATCTGGTAAAGGTTCAATAAAAAGGCTATTCTTTCTTTTCTTTTTTCTTTGCAGTACTGGGGATTAAACCTGGAACCTTGTGCATGTTAGGCAAGTGCTCTACCACTGAGCTACATCCCCATCCCATTTATTTTTATTCTGAGACAGAGTCTTGCAAAGTTGTTCAGGCAGGTCTGGAATTTGAGAACATCCTATTGCAGCCTCCTGAGTACTGGGATTATCTGAGTGTGTGACCATATCCAGCTAGAGGAGTTATTTATTTCAAGTTTATTATTATTTTTTACAAGGGAAAATCAAAACAAAAGCAAATTGGATTTGCTTTTGTTCGTTGATCAAAGAATTTGAATACCTTCCATGTTACCTTTCAGAGTGCAGCTCTGATTGAATTTTGTGACAGAGAAGGTAACATCTTTTACTGTATCAAATACCTGAGATCATCAGCTTATAAATAGAAAAGCTTGAGAGGCTGAGACAGGAGGATCATGAGTTCAAAGCCAGCCTCAGCAATATCGAAGCACTAAGCAACTCAGGGAGACCCTGTCTCTAAATTAAATACAAATTAGGGGTGAGGAAGTGGCTTAGGGGTTGAGTGCCCCTGAGTTCAATCCCTGGTACCGAGAGAGAGAGAGAGAGAGAGAGAGAGAG